TATTTCACTCACTGGGTTAGACTGTTCAACTTCCACGTGCCATGTTTAATGGATGTCAGTTATCAGTTATCTCCTGTTAATTTCCCTCTGAAAGTTCTCCACTGCCTTAACCGGGTATTGAACTCACACTCTTTGGGTCCCGTCACTGGATCTAGCTAACGCCTTTATCCACCGTGCCATCTGTGCATGAATTTCTGGGTATTATAAAACTAATGTCTTCAATGTCTTTTACCAGTGCTCATATTGAAATTTTTGCAGTTATCATTACATGTTTTAAGGACACATGTTTTGTTTATCATTTTTATGCATTTGGTTGGCACTTTATGGACCAGGAGGCACGGTGGAGTAATAGATAGCGGCTTGGATTGAGGAATCGGAGAGCCGGGTTCGAATTCCAGTCGAATCTATCACATTCACTAACGTGCCTGGGAAAGGTGTGAATCCTCTTTCTTCTTGCAAAATCTTGTAAATAGCAGGACAGACTGGGTTCTATAGCCTAGGAGAAGGAAAACTCTGAATTCAAACCTGCTCTTAGAGGAGGGTGAATGGAGTCTCTCTGAGCCTTGGTTGGCAATCCATTTAGTGATGGTGTCACGATAAAAACAAAAAAAAACACCCTTGATAGCCCTAGCGAAGCATCAAGAATTCAGCTATTTGACAAGATTATGAACTACCCTAATATACCAAAGTATTAGTGAGTTCAATCTCGGCTGAGGCCGCAAGATGATGATGATGGACCAGACTCTCGAGAGGTTGCTTCCCTGAAAATGTTATGGAGTGATTTCACAGTGGAGGCTTGTATTTGTACTAAGTCGGTCCTAAAATAGGTTCGACGTACAAAACATTAGGAACTTGATATAATAGGTATTGACGCAGAGAAATCTAGTTGTGGTCGCTGATACTTTAGTATCCGACTCTCGGTCGTCCGGCATCGACTGACTGACCGACCCACTGAGCGATATTCAGTCACCCCCCACCCCACGATGTGGATATCCGAGCCCGTGAGCTCAGCCAAAAATATGCCCTTTTAAAACCCGTATAAACGGGTTCAGGGTCGGTTTACCGCCCCGAAAGAGACTCCGCCCTTCGGCGTAGCCTCGTTCGGGATCCTCCCCGCCCGAAGGCAGAGAGTTCAACCTGTCAGCCGGTCGTCCGACTTCAGACTGAACTCAGACCGAACCACTGTGCGACTCCCTACTCTTACTACTCCTCCTTATAGGTGGGAGAGTCTATTAACTATAGAATAGGTGTGTTCCACTATAACAGAAAACTATAATCTGAACCTCTCCAATTCAACCTTTACCTATTGTACGTTGTCCTTAGAATCTACACTTATTTCCTCACCTCTACGTCCATACAACAACGCCATTAGTTACCCTCTACATTAAAGGGCTCTTGAGATTCGTATTGTTTGAACAGTTAGTAAAAAAAATATGTTCATGTTTTATTGTGTTGTGTTTTTACTGATATTTACGTTTAATAATCTTATTAATTTGTTTGTTTTCTCTACAAACTCGTTTACCGCATTGTGTTGTTATTTGTTTTTGCGATGATCGGTGATATTATGTATGGGCCTGGTCTTGAGTTTTTTTTTTTTTCAGAGAATTGTGAGATTAACGGACTCTCAATGGATTTTCCACTTGGTAAATCCTTTCCTTTCCTTATCAGAGAGGCATCTGTTAAGTTGTAATTGTGGTCAGAAGTTCTTGAACAGGATGTGTTTTGCGTGATATATGTCACGGCGATTCATCCAAGACAATATTACTTCACATTCCGCAAAGATGATTATTGCTGAGTTTGGCAAGAATGATTAGAAAGATATCAAATCAATGAAATAGCCCCCAGCCTCTTCAAACATTAATCCACTTGAAAGCTTATGGTTCATCATTGAAAGGGATGTACAGGGTAGACTAAAAGTTTTGTCACCCCTACAAAATGTAATTTTCTATTTCAACGCTCTGTGGAGGTATTATCAAAGAGAAACTTTCACATGAACGATACCAGAATAGCCATCAATTGAAGGACGCTGTCCGGAGAGCCTTTGAAACAATCAAGAAAGCACAGCTTCGTAAAATATCACACAAGACATGGCGCCGCATCATAGTGTGCCACGAAAATGATGGTGTTCATACAGACCTTTTCAATGTGTGATAGCCTCAATGAAAGTGAATAAACTGAATGCAGTACATGTTGTTCTATTGTTGTCATTACTTTTTGGTAGGGGGGTGACAAGATTTTTGAACCAACTCGTAGAAAACTCACGCACAGAAAAGCTGTGTTGTGGCGGTGTGAAATTGACTGAAGCCGAAACGTGAGATTGTGTAAAATATCCCAGGATGTTTTGGAGATACTGAACTGTGTGTAGATTTGCATTGCCCTTCTGGAGAATGACACATTTTTTAGACCAAAGGTCAGGATTTCGGACGTTTTTTATTCCCTTCGCCAGTTCAACTTGATAATTAATCTTGATTTATTCTAACTCGTAGTAACGGTTACCGACAATATTTCACCATTGACCTCTATAATCTTCGGAAGTGAAATATTATCTTCCAGATCTCACATCTTTTCAAAACAAAATGAAATAGTGACTTTCATATTAAACTCTATTTATTTTTATTACTAATGATTCAATACTGTTTTTTTTTTTTATCATTATTGACTCCAAAAGTTTATAGCATTAATTTCCGTCTTTTCTTTGTTTCTAAGGAAATAACGCTTCAGAAAGTATTGGGGTCTATCTGTTATATAGTGAATAAACTGAATCCAGTACAACATGTGCTTTGTATTACTGTATTACTTGTTCTTTTATTGTGCGCATTACGTTTTTCTATGGGTGACAATACTTTCGGACCATCCTGTAGATTATAATGAAAAATATTAAAACAAAAGATTTATCGGCTGCAATGAGGAGAGTGTGTCGACAAGACTTTCGGACCACCTCATAGAAAGAGTATTAACCACACATGGACTTCAGAAATTTATTTTCCTTTAAAGTTAAGTGAGATTTTTTAATAAATATCAAGGTGGTCCGAAAGTCTTGTCATCTCTATATAATATAATTTTCTATTTCAGATGGCTGACACAAAGACCTTCTCGATGTGTGACATCATCAGTGAAAGTGAATAAACTGAATCCAGTACATGTGCTTTGTATTACCGTATTACTTGTTCTTCTATTGTTGTCATTACTTTTCGGTATGGGGCGACAAGACTTTCAGACCAGCCTGCAGATTATAATGAAAAATATTCAACCAAAAAAGGTCTATCGGCAGAAATCAAAAGAATTGCTACAAGTGACGTTAAATTTGGTTTGGATTCTGTTTAACGGCCCTTCAATCATTATAGATTTGTTTAAGGCCAGATAAAGATTTTGAATCGTGATTGTTTTGATTATCAATTAATGTTATACATAAACCAGTGATAGATTTGGATACAGGTTATTTTTTTTCTTTTTAATCAGTTATTAAAGATTCTGGTTTCTAATAGGTTATTTTGTCTTCAGTTTCTGATACAAGTAAATTCTTAGAGTGTGCATTGTTATTTTTAGTGGGGATCCGTATGAAATCTGAGAGGGTCCTTTTTCTGGTTCTTCTTTTTTCACATTTCAAAACATGTTAAAGGTTTTACGTAATTTGGTTGGCAGTTTTTAAAGTTCTATATTTTAGCATAAAGTTTAATTTCCTCTACTTAGTTAATTATACTGTTTGGTTTAACGTTTTGAAAGAATTCTTTTATATTTTTTGCTTGATAATTTGTTCGGGTTTGACTGAAACGATGACAACTTGTGATTATAAGTTCAACATTGAGAGGTACTTGATATCTGTTGTATGATGGAGGAGTTTCATTTTTTAATAGTTGTGAGTGTGTCAGATAAAACTATTTTCTTTGTCTTGTTTTTTTTTTTTTTAATTTGGGAGCCATTCTCTTGTATTTGATTGAATATCGTATAGTTTGTTAGGTTTTGCGCCTCACATTACTTCCTTCTCCTGTTTTTCCTTTTTGTATATATCTTTAAGAATTTCACCCCAAAGCAAGGCGTTAATGCCACTAAGACGCAAGGGGGGTTATTGGGAGTAGACGAGAATCATAAATCTTTAGCGAGAAGAAGGGAAAAAAAACACTATATGGTTTCAATGAGAAAATGAAAGAAGGATTAATGAATGACAAAAAGACAGAAACTTACTAAGAGGTATAATGAATAGAAAGTTGTTGTGGACGACGATCGCCTACGTCCTGAAAGTGGGGGTGTCACATAAAAGATGAAGAATGTGTGTGTGTGCGTGTGTGTGTGTGTCTATTTGCAAATATGTGACCTTTATTTCTTTTCATAGGAGAGTGTTTAAGAATTCGTGTTTCCAGAAGTTTTTCACTTCCGGTAAGCTAACTACCTTGCCACAGTAGATTTTTTGTTTTACTGATTTTTTTTTATTTTATTTTTAAGGCGGGGCGATGCTGGGGGTGCACAGTGTACGTGCTATTTCATATTACGAGGAAATCTGTTTAAAGGATCAAAGACTTACATTCTGCTTTTACTTATCATATAAAAAACTGTATCCGTTCAGTGCACAAACAGACATTACATATATATATCTATCTATCTATCTATCTATATATATATATATATATATATATATATATATATATATATATATATATATGTATGTATGTGTGTGTGTGTGTGGTTGCGTGTGTATGTGTGTGTGGTTGCGTGTGTGTGTGTTGTTGCGTGTGTGGTTGTGTGTGTGTGTGTGCGTGTGCGTGTGTGTGTGTGTGGTTGCGCGCGCGTGCGTGTGTGTGTGTGTGTGTGGTTGCGCGTGCGCGTGTGTGTGTGTGTGGTTTGCGCGCGTGTGTGTGTCTGGTTGCGCGTGTGTGTGTGTGGTTGCGTGTGTGTGTGTGGTTGCGTGTGTGTGTGTTGCGTGTGACTACAAGCCATAGACAAGGAATTAACTTATCTTATTATTTTTAAATTAATATTTCCTGCATCCGTTCGACTGAAGGGATTACAGTCATATCACATTGACACACCGATTCCCGTACGATCACCGAAGTTAAGCAACGTCGGCCTGGTCAGTAACGAGATGGGGTGACCGCTTGAGAATACCAGGTGTTGTAAGCTTGGATGTGTGGGTGGTGTACTGGATAACGGCTCGGAATTTGAATTCGGAGAGCAGAGTTCCAGTCGAGCTCGTTACATTCGCTTACGCGAAACGGTGTGAATCCATATCTTCTCCTCCCAGCTATGGGTTAATCAGTGAACTATTGTTATCTGTAAACAAATTCTTAAAACCTAAAGATCTTTTCTAACTTTAAACAACCTGCAAGAGGGGGATAATCCGTAAAAAATATGAATCATTCAAGCTGTAGGAATGAATGGATGTCAGTGTATGAAGGAACATCATAAATCTTAAACCTTATAACGCCGATATTTGAAAACTTAGTTCTAGAAAGGAAAACATCTATGCCTTAAGGGCGTGGATCTTGATAAGGGCGAAATGAATGGCCGAAAGCGTTTAATAATAATTTGGTGAATTCTTTAGATTTGAAAATCTTATGTGGGGCGCTTCATCTTTTTTGGGACTAAATGCTTTTTTTCTGATGGAACCAACGATAAATATACAGGAGAAGGGGACGAAATATAACAATTTTCATTTAGATTTATACATCGAGAGAAATATTGAAGATGAGAGACGCTTAGCTTTAAATTTAAACGTCCTATGTGTTTAGGAATTCCATTCAGCTCTCTGCTGCAGTTGTTTTCAAATATCTCGCATTGTAATAGCAATCACCTTGTGAAGAATGACATATGGGGAGATTCTGAAATTAGTGCACTTTCAATATATTTTCGCCTTAACAAATTCTTTAGGTCCTCTACAAATTCCAGAGACGGATATGTGATGTGACTGGCCCTGATCTGGCATCTCGTTTACAGTCACTCTCACCCGACCTACCGTCGTTTCCCTCTGTCTTTTCTACAAATACATTCACGGTAACTGCTCCGACTAGCTACTTTCGCTGGTTCCCAAACTGCATGAATTTAAGCGTGCTACTAGGTTGGCATCTCGGTCCCACCATTTCACTGTCAAAACGGTTAAATGTATCCGTCTCTTCTACTCCAATAGCTTCATGTCTCGCACTTCCCGACAGTGGAACTCCCTTCCTCTTAACTGATTCCTCGATAGCTATAATTTTTAAGTATTCAAATGTAATGTCAATCGACATCTCCTGATTCGATGATCTAATTCCCCGTCCTTCTTTTCATACTTTCTTCTATCACGCCTCTTTACTCTTGCTCCCATTCTCTGTAACTCCTTGCGTGCTAGTGACACACCCGCCTTACTTGGGGTGAAATGCTTTAAAAAATTAATTAAAAATCATATTTTGAGTTGAAATTATGGTCAAGACTATGAATATGAAGGTCTAATGAGTTGAAAAAGATCCATTCTATATTCATATATTCTTTCTTTCTTTTTTTTGTATTTGTTGTAGAGTAGTTTTCACAGTGGAGGCTTGTATTTCAATAAGTCGTCCTAAATTAGGTTCGACGTACAAAAACGTTAGGAACTTGAAATAAGAGTTAATGACGCAGCAAATCTAGTTGTGATGGATGATACTTCAATGCCCGACATCGACTGACTCGCTCAACACCACTGAGCCAAACTGGCGACCGCTACTACTACTACTTATTATGTGTGGGAGAGTCTATTAATAACAGAATAGGTACGTCAGGTATAACAGTATTCCTACATGTTTCAACTATGTATTCCACGTAACACTTTTACTGCCTATTTTGTGCATTTGTGCTTCAAGTTTTAAGTTATTTTCCTTTCGTTTTTAGTAATTAAATCTCTTATTGTTTTTTTTATGTAGTTGTAACAATTTTTTGTATTAGGTTTAGACAGATTCTTTTTCAAATGTAGCCGTTATTGAGGTGGCAAGTAGCGATGAAATTACAGATGTAATAAATTAAATATACAACAATGGTGATATGCCGGAAGACCTTAGTAGTTCCATTTTCATAGCACTGTCTAAAAAGCCAAAGGATAAAGGAATTGTAACGCTGTCGGACTAATGAGCCTAATGAGCCATTTAACAAAATTTATCACCCCATTTCTGATGAACAGAGCGCGCAGCAAAATCAGACATGAAATAGGACATGAACGGTGCGGGTATTACAAAAAAGGACGCGATATTTATGTTCAGAATATTATTAGAAAGAGCAAATGCAGAAGGATGTGCACCTGTGTTTTACAGATTATGCAAACACCCTTGTTTTTAATTATTTTTTTTAATAAAGTCAATAGAAAAATGCTAAACAAAATGGAGCCGCGTTTTGTTTTTAATAAAGTAAATTGTAATGTAATTTATGTTCAATAAAATAAATCGAAGGTCTTATTTTTTATATGTATCAATTTACTTTATTAAAAAGAAATTTCTTTACAATTTACTTTATCAAAAATAATTAAAAACCAAAAAATGGAACATATTTTAGATAATGCATTTTTAAATGCCTTATTTGAAGAAAAATATCCACTAATTAAGGTTTTAATCCTTAATAAATTACTTTTATTCGGCTATAAAAAAAGTGATGTTTTTCTGGGGCTCAGTTGTCTCGCTCCTGAGTTGTCCCGGCGCTCAGTCAGCGGTATTGAGTTGTCTTGCATCCTACATAAAATGATAGCTACCGAACTATATATATATATATATATATATATATATATATATATATATATATATATATATATATATATAAAAAAAAAGAAGTTATACAAAGAATTAATATTAAATAATGATACAAAAGAATTAATGTTATATTCGAGTTGTTGTCAGATGGAAGATACATGAGAAAGTACTTTCAACAATTTCAAATTGTTATCTTCAGGACGCAATTTTCCCATACATAGTCTTAGTTTTTGCCTATGTATGGGAAAATTGCGTCCTGAAGATAACAATTTGAAATTGTCGAAAGTACTTGATATGTGTCTGTCATCTGACAACTCGCATATAAGGATCTTATTATTCAAGGAAATGATAGTAAGTTAATGTCTCATTAAGTCTTGTTAGCGAAGTGATTTCGCTATTAATCACATTAACATTGCCAATTCATCCTTTGTATAAATTGTTTATTTATGATATCAAATATAAGCTATACACTGTAACGTATATATATATATATATATATAGAGAGAGAGAGAGAGAAAGAGAGAGAGAGAGAGAAAGAGAGATGGAAAGAGAGATGGGGAGAGAGAGAAAGAGAGAGAGGTAAGTGAAAATAGGCTCATGGCCAAAGGGTTTGTATTTTCCAAATATGGGACCGGTGTTCAAATGTCCCCGTTGTTGATATGTCAAGTTCTTGATGCTATCGATCTGGGAGGCGATCCCAACGAGTGGCATCTTTGGCTAAAGTGTCTGAAAAACTATACTATGGATTAACCCAAGCCTTGTCAGTGAAATTCGGCGGACGGAACTATTCAGAAGATGCTGACGGTTATGCTGACGGTTATGCTGGTTTGAGTGTGCTGGCGTGGATCAAACTGCTCATCATGTCAGATTATGTGCTCTCTCTCTCTCTCTCTCTCTCTCTCTCTCTCTCTCTCTCTCTCTCTCAGAAACTGTAACTAAGTTTTGCGCAGAATAGTTGCAGTATAAACCCCAGGTGTCCTCTCCCTGAGCAGGGGATTGTCTAGCCGCCTTAGCCGACGGATGTACACGAAAAACGAGTGGCCGGTTATCATGACTGAAATGGCGGGAACAAAAGTAAAAAATTTAGGCCACCCATTTCTTTAAAGAATAAAAACGGAAAAATCTGATTATTGAAAAATATCTAGTGTAAAAAAAAGGGGGGGATGTAAATAAAAGTGAGAAAAACGTTAGAAAACGATGTCCAATCCTCCGTTTTATTCACTGAATAAATTTTAGGGAGCAGAGCCGAATAACAAGTGACGCCATAAAAGGCACCGACAAACGTTAAGGGGCCGAGTTCTCAGCACACAAAGGGGACAATGAAGAATAAATAACTTGCTAGATTGGTCGTAGGCAAGCAACATTAAGTTCTTTGTATCAATTGGAGATTATAGTTGCGCTGGGTGGAGGACACCCCCCCCCCCACAAAAGTCGTGAAAATCATCAAGTTGTAGCCTTTAACATTTAAATGATTTTCTTCCCCACACGTTTTAACGGCGGAAAAGACATGAAAGGCCGAACGGAAATACCGGAACTTCTTAACACTCCTGCGCACGCATGTTTTCATGAACGTAATTAGAGCGATGGATAACCGGCCGATTACAGCTTGTACCGTACAAAGCAAAAACTTGCACACACATACACACAGATATATATATATATATATATATATATATATATATATATATATATATATATATATATATTTACCGTCTGTAACAGCAAATTTGTCAAAATCGTGTAACAGCATAATTATCAATCCCACAAAATGTTTAATATCTAAAAAACACTAAACTAATTGAGTTTCTTTTTCGCAGGTTTTCAGATAAGATGTTTCGCCATCTTGGCACGATTTGTCGTGAGAATCACTGAACAAAAATCACTGAAGTTATTCAGCTAGAAAGAGTACAGTTTAAAATCGTTTTGTGTCAGCGCCACTATGTCTTCCCAACTGAGCAATGCTGAGAGGAAAAAGATCATTCAGGCCTTCAGGAATGGTACCAACATTCATACTCTGCCTTCCATCTTCAAAGTTCATTCAGGAACTATCAAGAGAATGCCAAATAAGGTTTAAAAAAAGAGGGTACAATACAGAGTAAAACTGAATCAGGACGTCACAACAGAATTAACATGGGATGAACTTGACAAAAGCGTGAAACCTTTCCATACCAAAAATATATATAAACGTGTTGTATAAAACTTTACTTTTTACTCTACTGATATATATATATATATATATATATATATATATATATAAATGTAATAGCAGACTTCTCCAAATCGTATAACACCATAATTATCCATCCCACAAAATATTTAAGACACTAAACTGAGTTTCTTTTTTCCAGGTTTTCAGATAAGATGTTTAGCCATCTTGACACCATGTGTCGTAAGAATCACTGAAAAACCCTTCGAGTTTTTCAGCTGAAAAGGT